ATTGCTAACCTAATATACAAGGTAGGGCAGGGGCCAATGCAATGCCAAGCAGAGCAAAGATAGTCTATCATGCTCCCTGCCTATGCACACAATTGTAGGTGACCACACACCCCTGTGACCTCTTATTTTTTTCATCATTTTTTCTAGCCTTTTCTCAAGCCCACACTTTGCCTTTCATGCTCAGGCTGTGGTTCAGGAGAACTTGGCAGCAGTCAGCTAAAAGCTAGATGAATACACTGAATTATTTTCCTCTAAAAGAGCTGACAGGATGAAAAGGAAATGAAAGTTCGTTTCCTCCATCAAGGCTGAGGAGTTAGTTTGAGAAGCTTGAGTTCCAAGGCTCATTTCCCCGAGAAGGAAATGGTAGCCCAGAAAGGCCCATTTGTGGACAAGAGAAGGAGTTGATTCAACTGTCCTTGATTTTTAAAAATCACACAGAACATTTGATGGAAAGATCAAACATTTTCTATAAAGAGCTAACTGACCTTCAGATGTGAGGCTGACCACTATTGTGGTGTCTATGATAGTGTTTTCCTTCCAGAAAGTGTAGATGGTAAGTCTGGATGAACAAAGCAGGGCCGGCCATGTAGCTGTGTGTCTGTCATGTCATGTGGGACAGGGTACTAGTAATGCTCAAGTACAAAGTGTCAGTGGATTCAATCCGTGTTGCCAAACCAAAGCCACCTCCGAATAGGCACCACACTTGCGTGGAATTAATGCCAGTTCCCTCCGCGTGATGGGAGGGAAAGTGCGAGCTTAATCTGTATCATATGTCTCGGAATAGCTCCAGACAGACAGACACCAGCCTGGAGTGAGAAGTGTGGATTTTTCAGTTACTAACGTTTAAAGGGTAACATTTCCTCAGTTTCATAAAACAGAATGAAGGCCTTTTTCGGGGCCTGCTTTAAAGGAACTCTTGAAGGCGTTGCTTCTGTAGGCATTCACTGCTGGTAGGAAAAATGACACCAGCAAGTAGAAATATCCTTCCTATTAGAGGCAGTCCTAGTTTCACATGGTACACAGGCAAGCTGCTTAAACAGAGACAGGAAAAGCCTCAGTACCAGGGAATCCTTGGGGAAGTGGCTTATGGGCTCTGTGAATATCTGAAATTTGCATACAAAATATTGAGTAGTGGTGCATCTTCTGACGGTTCATAGCCTTCTTCAGATTCTCAAATAAGTCCAGAAAAGTTTAGAAGCTTCCCACCCCTTCCACCCATGTAAATCCAAGACAGGTTCAAAAACCAATGTTGACAGAATGGTCAACAGACAACAAAATAAACAGAAGTTATAGGTGGATCTTAACTGACTGAAATGGGAGAGGACTTCGTAAGCACAAAAGGAATGGGCGAATTCACCAAAGATTAATAAATTAAATATTAAAAACTGGAATTCCTTTTATACCAAAAAATAGCACAAATAAATAAAACTGAAAGACAAATTAGGGAGATGTTTACAGTAAATTACTGGAAAAGGGTAAATATTCTTAACCCATTAAGAAAATGAACTGTAACAAGAGGGAGGAGATATGGGGATATATGTATATGTGTAGCTGATTCACTTTGTTATAAAGCAGGAATCTGTTATACAGCAGAAATGAACACACCATTGTAAAGCAATGATACTCCAATAAAGATGTTAAAAAAAAAACCAAACTAACAAATCAGGAAGAAAAAGTCTCTCTCACAGAGGAAAAAAAATAGGCAAAGGATGGGAACAGACAGCTTACAGAACAAATACGGTTAACAGCAGCTGTATGCTGGAGCTATAGCAGCTGTATGCTGGAGCTATAGCAGCTGTATGCTGGAGCTATAGCTGTAACCAGCTCATGTCAGCTGATTCTCTACTTCTTGTTCAGTGACATCACGTTAATAACTTGAAATTGATCATGGTGGAATTTTACAGCAGAGAAATTACCTACAAATCAAGGCTTTTTTTTTGGACAGCCAATTTACCAGCACACCATTTGTTAATAGATATACAAAAAGCAGTTCAAGTGTCCTGGCAATCAAAGAAATGCACAAAGAAATGAGATCTGGACAAGATGGAATAAGCACATTTCACCCTATTCCTCCTGTAAATTATAACAAAAAGGCCTGGAGAAAATTCATAAAGCAGCTGACATTCTAAAAGTTGCAGGAAAGTAAATGGACTGGCTAGGGACCTCAGCTCAAGGAACGACCCAGTAGTGAGCCCTTGTTTTCTGTTTTCCCCTTCTTTATATCTTGGCCTGGGCTCTGGAGAGGCCCCCATCTGGAAATGCCAATAGCAATAGACACACACACACACACACACACACACACACACACACACACACACACAAAAGCCGGAGGAAAGCCTGCTACCTTTAGCTAAAAGAACAGAAGGGTGGCCCAGTAAGAGCAACATTTGACCATACCTGACCTTACTCTACCTCTGGGTGGGCACTAGGAAAAAGCCATGCCCTGCTGTCCCCACTGGGCACCACATCCTGGGGCTGGCAGAGCCCTGCTTTCCATCCCTCCTTGCAATAACAGACCTCATCTCTTCCCTGGAACAGAGACTGTGGATGGAATTTTTCAGTGGCTCTCTCATCACCATAAAGACCAGAAGGAAGCAGAACAACAGTTTTCAAATGTTGCAAGACTAAAACAGTTAACCCAGAATTTTATATTCATTGAAAATATTCTTCAGGAATAAAGGTGAAACAGACATTTTCAGATGAAGGAAAACTAAGAGAATTTGTCACCAGCAGACCTGCTTTCGAATGGCTAACTCGAATAGCTGAAGGAAGTTTCTTCAGACAGAAAGGAAATGATAACAGAAAGAAACCTGGAACATCAGAAGTGAGCAAAGAATGGAAAGGGTGACTATATGAGTAGATACTGTAAACCATTCTTCTTAAGTTTAAAGAATTATGCTTGATGTTTTAAAGCAAAAATGACAACATCTGAAGTGGTTCTCACTACATAAAGGTAACACTTAAGACACATCCATATCTTAAAGGGAGGGGGATAAAGGGACCTAAAAGGAGGTAAAGTTTTTACATTCCACTTGAAGTGATGAAATATTGATACTAGTAGACTGTGATAAATTATGTACCTATATTGTAATCTTTAGAGAAGCAGTTTTCAATCAGGGGTGACTTTTGTCTCTCAGGGAACATCTGGCAATGTTTAGAGACACGATTACACATGCTACTGCCATCTATAGTTGGTAGAAACCAAGTTGCTGCTAAATATTCTATGATACACGGGTCAGTCCCATGCAACAAAGAGTCATCCAGCCCCAAATGCCAACAATGTTGAGGTTGAGAAATCCTGCCCTAGGGCAGCCATACAAAAAAAGTGCAGACAGACAATATAAACACTACTGATGAATCAATATGGAATAGTGAAAAACGTTCAACAAACCCACAGGAAGTCAGGAAAGAGGAGTATGATAAAAACATTAAAATGGTAGACTTCAATTCTAACATATCAGTACTTACATTAAAAGTAAATGGTCTATACGTATCAGTTAAAAGACAGTGACTGACAGAACAGATGAAGAAATACACGACCCAGCTATATGTTGTCTCTGAGAAACTCATTTCAAGTAAAGTGACATAGGTAGATTAAAAGTAAAAAGATGGAAAAACACATACCTTGCAAACCCTAATCAAAAGAAAACTGAGGTGAATATATTTATGTGAGATAAAGTAGATTTTAGAACAAAGTCATCAGAGCTAAAGGACATTACATAATGATAAAAGGGTCAATTCACCAAGAAGACACAATAATCCTAATTGTTTTGTACCACGAACAACAGAGCTTCAAAACACATGAAGTAAAAACTGATGGCCGAGAAGAGACGCATTTATAGTTGGAAACTTCAACATCCCTTTCAGTAATTTATAGAACTACTACACAGAAAAAGATTTTTTTTTTTATGTATCAAATGCGCAAAGATTTGAAATGTTAATACTCAGTACTAGTACGCTCTGTACTAGTATGGGAATGTAAGTGCGTATCCATCCTGAAAAAATGTTCAATTTATACATTAAGACGCTTAAAATGGTTATACCATTTTTCAACCCAGTATTTTCACTCTTAGGAATCTCTCCAAGGGAATAATTAAAGTGGTCCAAAATTTATCTATCTAGACCTTCATAAGAGAGCTATTTATAATAGCAAAAATTGGAGACATCCAAACATGCCCAGTAATTGGCAAGCGCTTAAAAAAGTATTCTATATACACATACAGTGCTGTCGATAAAATAACATTTTAAACAATTTTTAATGCCATGGTAAATGGGAATGACTTTAAGGCAAAGAATTAGTATATATATAAATCAATATACATAAAGAATAATCTAAATTATGTTAAACAGACATTTAAGTAAACAAAAATTGATAGAAGAAAATATAACATAGATAGCAATGAAAAATGACCAGTGATTATATCTTCGTGCTTTTCATTTGGTTGCTTTTACTTTTTTCCCCACCTCCAGTTTCCCATTGTTCATGTCATAACAAACTGTCACTTCCAAAAACAGCATAAAAATGAGGTCATATACACAAAGTGTCTTATACACTCTTGCATCTGGTATGGAGAAACTGAATCGGTGGTAACGTTTTTGTAAATAATTTTTGAAGGTGAAAAAGGTAAGAAAGTATGCCCATTATCATTCCTAAAGTGATCATCTCTGTTTTATTGCCTGGACCTAATTATTCACAGTGCCACCTGTCATTCTCAAAAGTATCATGGTCTAGATGACAAGTTGAATGGGCACCCTCACTATTCGGAATAGAAAAGATAAAAATATTCCTAATAATAACTAAAATATATTGCACCATAACTAGACACCAAGCACTGTACTAAATGCTTTACCTGGATGATCTTGTTTATCCATCTCAGGAGCTGAATTATCTCCATTTTATACAGGTGCTGAGAACTTAAGCAACTCGCCCAAGTTGAGACTAGCAAGTAGCAGAGTCTGGATCTGAATGATCTCCATCAAATTAACAGCTGAGGGCGTACCTGGGCCTGTCTGAGTGCAGGGTTGGCCGGCAGGGGTCTGGCAGGGACGCAGGGCACACGAGGAGCCGGGTGCAGGGGCGGGAGTCCTCGCTGAGAAGAACTGGGCAGAGGGGCGGCGTCAAGGGCTTTGAGGGGTCTGCTGATGTCCACATGCTGACACTGCGGCAATCTCCTGGGATTGTCCTGCGGGGTCAGAGCAAAGAGCCATGATGTGGTCATTACTGTGTAATCCCTGGAGGGACAAGCACTGCTAACTCATCTGCTCTAGCTGCAGGGGGAGGGCAGGTGGAGGAGGGAAAGAAATCAAGGGATTACAGCAGAGGGAATCTATTATTATTGATGTCAGCTTCAGGATTCTAACAAACCACCCTCTCCCACCCCCAAACCTGGAATAGTGGGGTCGCTTTCTATCTAAATGTTTAAAAACTGGTTTAATTCGTTAACAAGAAGGTGCAAGGCAACCTCAGGAAGCACCAACACGCATGAAGACACAGACCAGATCTTAAGGAAATTCCAAAGGACTTGTGAAAATGAGACGTAGTTCAGTGTACACAAGGCTCGATAAGAACTGAGGAAAACTCCTGGGGAAGGAGCTTCGGGGCGGAGGTGAGGGCCTGGGTCTGGAGGACCGTCTCCTGCCTGGTGGCCTTGTTTTTAGCGACAGATGAGAAAGGATGCAGCGTGGGTCTCATGTCCCCTGCACCTCCCTGCCTCCCTCTTTTCTTCCTTTCTTTCTATAAATAGTTTTATTGAGGTTTCATTGACTATTAATTGCATATATTTAAAATGTACAATTTGGTAAATTTTGACATAGATTCACACCCATGAAACCATCACGGTAAGTAAAGCGATGAACATATCCATCACCCCATCATCCTTCCCTCCCACGGCCCCCCCTTTCTCCTTCTCCCAGCAACTACTGATCCGATTTCTGTCACTATAAATTGGTTTGCATTTTTCTAGAATTTTATATAAATGAAATCATCATTTTTGGTCTGGCTTCTTTCACTCATCATAATTACTCTGAGATTTATCCAAGATGTAGTGTGTATCAACAGTTCATTTTTTCTAATTCTGAGTAGCATTCCACTGTGTAAATACACCAAAGTGTGTTTACCCTTTTAACCTGTTGATTGGTATTTGGGTAATTTCTGGTTTGTGGCTCTTCAAGATAAAACTGCATCTTTGGCTCTTGCAAATGAAGCTGTTTTTCCTGTCTCCCACGGTTAGGGGTGAAAGGTGATAATACTTATTAGGAACGGCCGTCTCCTCTTTGGAACCCAACCCATAGGTACATCAAAAACCCTTGGTGGGGGAGCCTAAATATCAGAGTGCACACTAGTCATAATTCACCAAAGGGAGCAGGAAAGTGAAGAGACAGTAGGGAACCACGAGGTACTTTGGTTTGAGGGTCCAGCTCTTTGAAGCCATAGGTTGGACAGAGCTTTTACAGCCCAGGGCTGGAGCAAAGTGGGCCCGACCAAGGGTTCAGTGTAACTCTCAGAAATACCCTGGGAGTAGCAGTGGGCCACAGAAGCTCTCCCAAACCCAGTCAGTGGCATTCTCAAATCTCAGAAGGGGTCCAGCTGCAGGAGCCTGCCCGGTCAGCATGCCCGGTGGGCCTCCTAGGACCGTGGCCACCTGGGTGACTGGAGGGATGATGACTATGTAGCATGTCCCGCAGGGCACATGGCCTCAGTGGGACCTGGCACCGTGAGCCTCTTCCAGTGCCAGCCATCACGTCGGGAAGCCCCTGTGGTCCCGAGGGTGCTGACCCTGCGTCTCACAGCAAGAGGCCGCGGGGTCTACTCCTGCTCAAGCTCTTACTGAAAAACCTGCGTCTTCACGCGTTTGCTCGCTTTTTTTTTTCTTCTTCTTGCGGTACGCGGGCCTCTCACTGCCGTGGCCTCTCCCGTTGCAGAGCACAGGCTCTGGACGTGCAGGCTCCGCGGCCATGGCTCACGGGCCCAGCCGCTCCGCGGCATGTGGGATCTTCCCGGACCGGGGCACGATCCCGTGTCCCCTGCGTCGGCAGGCGGACTCTCAACCACTGTGCCCCCAGGGAAGCCTCGCTTCTTGTGTTTGTTCAAAACTCACCTTAGGTGTGTTGGAAGGTGGCGGCTTCCTCATCGGCCCTTTGCTGAGGTGGGTAAGGTGAGCCTGACTAGGCTGGGAGCCACTGGACGGCCGGGAAGGGCGCACACACCTGCAATGCAATCCCAGACGCGCTTGGCGAGGGCGCTGTCCCCTCTGCCTGACTTGACTTTTTCTGTTTTGTTCACAGTGACACGCAAAATGCAATTCACTTCTTTTAACTTAGTGTGGTAAACATGCAAGAGAAAACTTATCTAACACTCTCACAAGATTAAAACATAAATATTGAGTTTCTTCCCCCCAAGCCATTATTCTGTTAAATTAGTTCTTGCAATCTAAGACACACAGCTTGGGACACCTGGGAGACATTTCGCATAAAGCTGGCATTTTAGCAATGATGTCCTGGAATAAATTTGGATCGAAAGCTACCCCATCTGATAAAAATGTTTTAATATTCCATCTTGTAAAAAGTACCAATGTAAGGGTGGGAAAAATACACCAGTGGAATTCATCAACATCCTGCTTATTTATGTAACAAATTGCAAATAGTTTGAAGGGAAAGTGAAGGGGGCAGCTTGGTCTGGAAGAAATGTTAAAACACCAAAACCAACAGAAAATCTGACCTTTTCTTTGCTAAGGAAACACAGTGCGAAGCAGCCCATTGCACATTCTTTCAAATGCCATTTCTTGAAAAGATGACCCTAACCCAGGGTACCTTAGCTTTTCAATGGTGGTTTTCTTATCTGTAAACAGCAGTCGTATCAATGTCTTCCTTTTGAGATAAACCACAAATCCAGCAGCAAGAAGACACAGTATGGTCACCAGAATTCCTATGGTTAAACCTTGGTTACCTGAAACAAAGCGCATTTGACTTAGAGAAGGAGGCATATAACTAAAATATGGGGAGTATCAAACTGTGACATTTACGGCAAAATGAACTTTGAAGGAAGGACCAGAAATGGAGTGAGTAAATCCCTGGATGGTGCACTGATCAATCAGTGTCACTTCAAAGGGCGTGTCTGAGGTGCAATCTGCCCTCTGCCAGTAGTCATTTCTGACATGTCTGGAACTTGCTAAATGGGAATACAGTCTGGCCAGTGGGACCATATCCCTGGTCACACGGGCCCCCCAGGCATGACAACAGCAGGGGAATGGTGGTGAAAGTAACAGGGAGCTGTCACTGGAATCCCATCAGAATTAAAGTGGTCCCCAACCTGAAATCTTCCCAGCCCCCATTACAAATATGCTCCTGGCGGGCTCTTTCCTTCTCTCATTCTTTGGTGTTGGCGTCTATTTTTGTTTTTTGTATTTTTTTTTAGACCAAGACCTTACTTCTGGATATCATCAAATTAGAAGGTGAAAAAGCAAACTCCGTTTAAATGCCCTTGGGTTCTGTTTCGTTATGTTAGGGACTTAAAAACGCAGCCTGTTGGGGGGGGGACCCCTTTCTCTGGGAGGATGCTGTTTATTTTATCTAAGGGAACATCCCCCCCCCTTTCTGTGATACGATCCCATTTTGTTTAGTGCAGAGACACGAAGACTCCTCAAGGGTGTGGAAAGGAAGGGAAAAATCAAACCATCCCGCTGGTTTCTAACTGCAGCTGCGGTCAAGGGCCATCTGGGGAGGGCTCTAAATGCCCGGATTTGGAGGACCTGTATTTGCAGTTTCACCAGGGTGGTGAATTCCTTGAGAGCACAGGTCTCAATTCATTTGTCTCTGTTCTCCTGCCAGCAGCCATCAGTCTGTGTGCCCCCTGGTAGGTGCCCTGCAGTCCTTTCGGGCTGCTGGTGACAGCTGTGGAGGTGGCTTCTGTCACCAGGGCTCTCCCACCCCACCTCCAACCAGGACATTCAGCTGGGGAACCAGAGTAGCAGTAGCTCCCACCCGGGGGGAGAAAGCCTTCACACCCTCTCTGTTTCTGGACTTCGTCCCCAGCTGACAAGTCCTAAGAGGGATGTGTCTGAGTCTAAGGCAGACAATCAACACGGGACGGTCTTGATTCACTTGTGTTACTGCAAAAGCCTTGCTCTGGTTTCCTGGCCCAGATGTCCCTCTTTCGAGACTGTGGGCTGGCAGTCGCAGGTGCCTCTGGTGAGGATTCTGTTGTCTCTTAACACAGCTCATTAAAAAGTGAGCAGCAACATGCTTCAGCCATACTTTCTAGTTCCATACTTCCAAATCCCTACGTCTTAAACTGATGAGTTATCAGCCAAACACTGACTGGGCCGCACGCTGAGCTTGCTGCCCCTGCCCCCCAGGCTGCCTGTCACCACGAGCTGCTCAAGCCAGAACTCCAGGCAGTGCCATCCCCGCATCCAGTGCAGGCGCCGCGTCCCATCGAGCCTGCCCCCTGTGTCCCCTCCGTCCCGTGGTCCACCTTCCTGAATCTCACTGTCACCCCGCCCATCACTGCTTCTCATCTGCGCTGGGCCCACCGAGTGTCTCCCAGGACCCGGAGGAGCGGCTGGTGCCTGGCAGATGCTGGAGAAATACTTGCGTCATGAACTTCTGAGCCACAGGCAGGCGGGCGGGCTTGGGGCAGTGAGGCCCAGGGCGCGGCTATGCCCCATGCAGCCATCAGCCGGCTTCTCGTGGCCCCTCTCTTGTAGGTGTTTCGGGGTGAGGAGTGTAAACGTACTTTCTTTTATGATACGACGGCAATGGTGGATGAGTCTGGCTCTTCAGTGGTTTCCATTTTTAAAATATTCTTACTTGGTACAACGAAGAATTGGCAACTCTGTGGGTTCGCCCAAAGTTTAGGGAACCCCCAAGCCTGAGTCCCCCTGGTGTCCACACCAAAAAGGGACCCAGAGCATGTGGCCTGTCTCCCGCCATCCTGTCCAATTCCTTGAATGCCATCTGGCTCACTTGAATGCAGAGGATGGAACAGGTGGCAGGGTCCCCTATGCATTAAAAACTAAAATGCTGCTATTTTTTAACAATAACCTCTTGATGGCCAATTAGAAAATTGACTAAGTTGCAGCAAGAGGCCAGCCATCAAGGTGGGGATGCTGGGCCAGGCCTGGCTTATTACCCCCTGGGATGGATGTATGCTAAGAGGAAAGACCTTCGGGCCCTTTTTCCACTTGCTGCGGGGCCGGTCTCGGGAGCAGTGTTGAGACACGTCCATCCCTAAGCAGAAGGGTGCCCAGGAGCTCACCTCCATTCCTCAAAACACTGTTTCTCCAGATGTGCCTGCTCAGAGGGTCTCTCCCTCCTGGCCCCGTGCCCCCTGCCTGATCCTGTACAGCAGTGTTGTGTCTGTTGTCATGGAAACAGTAGCCAAGCCACAGATTCAACCCTGCCAGTCACAGCGGGACTCAGGACGTATGACGTCCTCCGTAGTGGCGTTAGCCACCGTCTGAGCGTCCAGGGGCTCAGGTGGGCACCTAGGTGGCAGCACAAGTGTGCTCGGGACATTCCTGCCTGCCCACACACCCCCCCCACCACCACCCCCGGCTCACGGTGGGTTCTCTGCACTTTCACTTTAAAGTGGGCATCACTCAGGCCTGCCCCTTAACTGGCTGACAAGAGCTCAGAGAAGACAGTCCTGCGCTAGGAGACCACTTCTCAACGTCTTTGAGGAGGAAAGAACTGACAGTGCCAGCACAGCCACCCTTAGGGGCTTTTTCACGGGTAGACTGTGCCTCAGTCTTAGCTGTGTGACTCTGTGAAAGTTACTTAACTTCCCTGAGCCTCGGGTCCCTTGTAAGGAAAGAAGAATAATGCCAACTTTTGTAAGGATTCGATGAGCTAATGGGTATAAAACGTGAAGCACGGCAGGTAACAGCAGCTCAGCAAAGAGAAACTGCTGCTGTATCTCTGCTGCTACTGCTGGGACCCGCCCCTTTATGAAGAGGAGGGTGTCTTTCTAGCAAGAGCGTTAAAAGGCATTTGACTTCACACCTCTTAGCCCTCGTACACAGAGGCCGGCCTTGACAAAATCCTTTGATCCGACAATGAAGTCATACCCACTTGGCAGTCTGCGGTAGAATGACCTTAGCTAAGAAAATGTCCCAGGCTAAGACCCGGCGAACTCCGCCTCTGAGTAAAGCAGAGCGACGAGTCTCTGCAAAGATGAGGCAACGACTAGAGAGGGTCTGGAAACAGAGAGGCCTCGGGCTGTGTGAGGTCTGCGTGGGGTCCTCACTGGGTTTCCGGCTGTGCACCTGCCCGACGGCTGGTGAGCCCTCAGTCTTGCTTGGAAGGATCCCCCAAGGGCCTGGCTTCCCACTGCCCCCAGGAGCTCAGCCCACTCCCTGGGATGCGCCGTCACCACTAACCTGCTTGCCGGATGGGGCCGCTGTCCTTGCTTCCTCCAAAGCCAAACTTGTCACAGAAGGGAGGGGCCCAGTGGGCCTCGCAGTGACAGTTCTTCCTATTGTTACACACCTTTCGGGCAGCAGAGAAGAAAGACACCAAGAGGGAAGCAGGGTTAGGACGCACGTCCCCCTGGGGCAGCGCTAAGTCTCTGAGCCCTAATTGAGCCCGAGAGCAAAGCAAAGGCCCTGTGGTCAGAGACCCCATCCCACCGATACAGTCAGACTCCGTACACGCGGCTGTGAGGATAAACCCTAAACCCAGCACCACACAGGTGAGCCCAGAGCCCGAGGCTGCGGATTAACATAATGTGCTGTTGTTACATCAGCAGCTACTGAGAGAAGGATCGAGACAATTAGGGCTCACCCACTCCTTTCAACCCCTTTTTCTTCTCAATCTCCATGTCCCTCTTTTTAAATCCAGGAAACCCTCCTGATCTGGCCGAGATGAGAAGCCCTCTCAGTGGTAAGGAGGGGCCCCTGCTTCAGGGACACGGAATCCATGGCCTTGGGCATCACGGGCCGGACAACCCTGGGCACCTTCAGTTGAGAGGCTCGGGGAGGCTGTCACACATGGAATTTGCTGAACTACTACCGGAACCAGTGGAGTACGAGTGTGAAAACAAGAGAGAATTATTTCTATGACAATGAGGCTGAATGCTTTGGGAACGCTGGATAAATGCAAGTCACTAAAAAGAACTTTTGACAAATTTGGAATGGGTGGAACAACTGAAAAATGATCAGGAAAAGCCGCAAAAGACAGGAAGGTTGCTCTCTGAGTGTTTCCCTTCCGCTTAGAGAAACAAACAGTACGTCATAGATGGTGCATTTTGGATAATTTGTACTGATGTCAGGGCCGAGCTACGGATGCGGAATGAAGCCAAACACACGCTTTTATGTTTTTAAGACACGATAAATGTTCCGGGCATTTCTCTCATTTGTGATGTTTCCCTGTTTTCACAGACTCTTTTTTTCTGAATCAACCACCTGCCCCAGATGCTTCCAACAAGAAGGCCAACAGTCAGGAAAGCCTACGATAAGTGAGAAAGCGTGTTTCTATGCAGCTAACGCTCAGTAGAAGAAAGTACCGTGCAGCATAGCCCATGTTGCCTTGAGTCTGCGTGTCCTGCCTGTTTCCTCAGAGACGGTGCTGCTGAGGTACGACTCCCTGGGGTTCAGGCGCTGTCCTGCCCGCCCTGGTCTCCTGCTGCAAATCACAGTCATGTGCCCTTTTGGCAGCTTGTGGCAGAGAGATTACAGCCCTAACACCCCCCTTGGAGGCGCTGCTGGTGAGCCCGGCCTCGCGAGGGAAGACTTGTCCCCAAGTCATGGCCTCTCCAGTGTGTGGATGGGACCCCAGGATGTTGGAGAGAGAGGAGTCCAGGGTCCCTGACACAGCCTTGCTACTAACTGGTCATGTAACCCTGGATGTGTCACTATCCCCACTGGGGCCTGGACTCCTTCATCAGCCAAATAATAAGGCTGCGCTAGGTCATTTCTTCCAGCCATTAGAAAGAAATCTATGATCCAGTGAAGACATTAAAAGATTCCATTTTATATTGACAGTCAGCTACACTCACCATCAACAAACCCATCTGAGGTGACACTGCAATCCTTTATGGTTACAGCACAAGAGTAATTTTAGGCAAACCTCCGTAATTCTATGTTACAATCATTGGTGAGTGCCTATTTTAAAAATAGAATTTGGAGCACAATATCTGTAGAAAAGGTTTCAGTAAAACAAATAAACCACTGGCATAGCTAGTCAAGATTAATATGATTCCACTGGAAATAATTAAGCCCATCAGAAGAAATAAACTAGGTTTTAAACAATTAGAATCCTCTGCGCCCCCTAAAAACTCTCTGAACTAAAATAACAGCCTTCTTTAGTTGACATCCATCGTATGTGATTTCAGGAACATGTGGTCGGTATGTTCTGTCTTCTTTGTTTTAATTCCTTTTGGAAATATTTCAGTTCAGACACATATTCTGAATCTTGGCTGCAGGAGGGACAGCTCTGTTTGAAACGCTAATGAAAAACTCTTCATGAAGGAAGGTTAATGTTAAAATTACTTTGAAGATGACAAAGTCCCTTTTAAAAAAAATCCAGAATGTTAATTTAAAAGATAATTATCACTCAATCTGATTTTCTCTGTTAAATAAAAATCCCATTTCTTATGCTATATAAAGGTCAAAGAAAATGAATGTCTTCAGAAGAAACTATTGAGGAGACAGTGACTGCTATATTTTTACAAAGTTATGGATGGCAAAAATCCTTTACAAAGGAATGATTTAGCGCTGAACTTGCTGTGGGCCGGCTATACAAAGGCAGTTCACCTACTCACCCCTCTGCCGTGGCACTGCACCGCACATTCGTGAACACCGAAGACACTTACGTTCTGACACCGACGATTGAGGCACATCTGCAGAGGAGGGAAACACAGCAAATATCTCAGCCTGTCTACAACCACACGCACATGCATCTAGCTGTGTATTTAAGAACAGAGGAATGGATAAAGAAGATGTGGTACATATATACAATGGAATGCTACTCAGCCATATAAAAGAACAAAATAATGCCATTTGCAGCAACATGATGACAGTTGTACTGAATGAAGTCAGACAGAGAAAGACAAATATCATATGATATCGCTTATATGTGGAATCTAAAAAAACGATACACATGAACTTATTTGTAAGACAGGAATAGAGTCACAGATGTAGAAAACAAACTTATGGTTACCAGGGGTTAAGGAGGAGAGAGATAAATTGGGAGACTGGGACTGACATATACACATTACTATATATAAAATAGATAACTAACAAGAACCTACTGTATAGCACAGGGAACTCTACTCAATACTCTGTAATGACCTATATGGGAAAAGAATCTAAAAAAGAGTGGATATATATATAACTGATTCACTTTGCTGTACACCTGAAACTAACAAAACATTGTAACCCAACAAAACCCCAAAAAAAATTTAAAAAAAAAAAAAAAAAAAGAAGAGGCAGCAAAGGAAAGCTTGGGGAAGACCATCTCTCAGTTAATATGAATAATGCACTTTGCCTTGGACCCGGATATGGATCCTGATGCCTGCCTCCAAACTCAGCCCATTTCAAGACTCACATCAATGTGGACACTATGGAAGTCGTCTATCTTCATGGCATTTTATATGGTTTTGGTCAATCCTGAAATTAGGGTAACTGATTTTCTCATGATTTTTGTTTGGAGCTTGCAATGAAATCTACATATTGCAGCATTTGCCCCTTCCATTAAAAGATGTAGGACAGAACAAAAGAGACTAGTCCTTCACCTGGCCCTATGCAGACTCAAAGACTCCAAGAATCCTTGAATCTGGTAAGGGAGATATTAAAATATGGGAAATTTTCCAAAATACCGACTGACAAGTACTATCGTCGATGACATAAACCATCAACAGAAATGCTCAGCAGAGTAAAACAGACGCTTCCCTTGTATTTCTCAAGCCTCTGCAGAGGCAGCAATTTGCTAAATGGTACTGGGCTGGTTGAAAGAGTTTAGTCTTATTTCAAAGGTGCATAATATAGTCCAGACTCAAGGGATCAGGTTCTTTATCTCCCATAAGATGTTACAAATTAGTGGGGTCAAAGGGAGAAAAGTCTAATTTTTAGATTACAGAAGCATTTTTAATCAAATAGGACCTTCCTATGAGACATTCACCATCTGACCCCAGCAGCTTATCTGAGGCAAGATTAACGCCCTTTGAAAAACGTGCTGGTCCAAGCAGCTCTCAGGGCTGGTGGGAATCTTGGCCGAGGGGACTGTCACATTCCGGCTGAGAAAGGAAATCGTCTGGGGCTGCAATGAACACAGCAGGACCCCAGGCAGAAGCACAGCATATGGGTGCTGCCCTCCCCCAACCCACTGGGCTAGGCTAAGGACGGCTTTCAAAGAACTAGCGTTCTGCAGGCAGGAGATCAAAGCACACTGAATCCTGCACGTGAATGGAAAAGCTCACTGATAAATTGAGTCCTTGGAATTTCAGCGTTCAGATGCACCTGGCCTTAGCTGTTCAGACCACAGTTTAAATGGTGTCAGTCTAATGTCAAGGCTTGAATATAAGCGAATGGGTGTGGTTAAGGAGACACCCAGAATGTATAACATGTTTCACTTATCATCCTGTTTCCTTAAGGATGAAAGCATTTGTGGTGTATCAGGGAGGTGGTGGAGTGGAGGGAAATCCTGTCCTGGTGGGGACTTGTTCTCACCTGGACAGAATGGGCAGAGTCAGATGTGGTTTCAGAGACCCCCCGTACAGGGACTCTGCTACAGGAGATGACTCAGCACCTTTCCTTTCTGCTCTGTGACCTCCACTTCAGTAATGATTTCATAATCATTTTGAAAAGGAGGAGCCTAATAAAAGCATCTTCTTTCCTAAAGTGTTTTATTAACTTGCTATCATTCAGTCCGATGAGAAAGTTTGGTGGGAAAAAACGAGGTGGCAGAATATAAAAATCTCAAAAAATTTTTTTTTCATTTTGGACTTTATTTCTAACTGCCCGCCCCCCAACCCCCAGTATCTCAGTCTATCTTTCCCCCTGATCTCCGAAAGAAGACCCTTTGGCTTTAAGCTTATCCTATCTCTTCCCCTCTCCTGTCCCTGTATGGGGGTCTCTGAAACTGCATGTGACTTCCCATTCTGTCCAGGTGAGAACAAGTCCCCACCGTGCCAAAAACCCAAACCACATTTCCAAAAACAATGTAATATGCTGCTGTGTTTCCTTCCAGTGTAATTTCCTGGCTGGAAACTCTCATAACATCCAGAGTGTAGACATGACTTATTAACACTAAAGAGCTGAGAAAACAAGCTTGATTTCCCCAAATCTGCGTCTCAATGGTCAGACCAGGATCTAGGATTTATTGACTTTTTCTTCTAGGTGCAAAGAACGGAATTTCAGAGGCAACATTCTGAGAAGCGGATTTAGGAAAACAAACCAACCCTGTAACTCAGTTCTCCAACAGGACGTTTCTCAGTGGGCCCCCTTCCAGACTTACATCTGTGATGCAAGGGAGCATATGGGTCTTACTTTTCCATCTGCACACTTTGTGCCGGCAAGCACAAGCCCTGGGTCCGGCATGTCATCGCCCAAGTACACGTGGGTCCCACGGCACAGAATCCGACCTCCTTCCTGCAGGGGGATATTCGTTTCTATGGAAACGGCATTTGTACCGATGACTGGTCGGCTGGCACCTCCCTGACACTGGATTTTTCCACATTTAGCATCTCTGGAAAGGCAAGAACAGACAGTGCTCAAAGAGGAAAAGTCTGGAAGCAGCCCTAAGTGATCTGGGAAGTTCAAAGCCACGTCACGGTCAGGAGGCAGACCCCACCTCATCTCGCACTTGGCGAAGGAACTCTTGGAGTCTTTGCCGCAGTTGCCGTAAGGGTCGCCTGCAGAGTTGACTCTCTCGAAGCAGATCCCGGGGGCAGGTTTAGCACCTGAAACAGAAGCAAAGCAGCACTTTCACCACCTGCAAGTGTTTTGAACATTTTTCTTGGAACAGCACGAGGCTTTCAGGTTAAGGGAAGATATGTTCAGCGTCCCCAGAAATCACACCTGGCATCTTCGCTGATGCCTGATACAAGCCCCCCTCAGCTCACAGCAAAGCATGCATTTCATCACTCCCTCTTCTGGAGGGCTGCTAACTGGGCCCATGGCACGTGCGGCCTCTCCAGAGATGAGGCCTGGCTCTGGGGCTGCACCCGACCCAACCCCAAAGCGGGTGGCTGGCCGGCTGCGGGGGAAGGGGAGGCTTGCTCTCTTGAACAACTCCCACACGACTCCGGTGAGAAAATGCAAGTTAAAGCAGGTTCCAAGGAATAATGATGACTAATGTGAGGGAGCAAAGAGAGAGAGAGAGAGAAGGAGCAACGCGGAGGTCTCACACCACATTTTCAGCCCCACGAAGCTCCCTACTGGAGCAAGCGCTGGCTTCAACGAATGCCTGCGTTTGCAAGGCACAGACTGCTTTCAGAGGCCATGGAGGCATAAAATCTGATGGTCTTTTTACACAGCAGGACAGTGCCCGGTACAGAGGGGCGTGGAGCCAGAGAGCTCAGGAAATGGCCATTTTTAGCACATCTTCCGGTCAAGGAACGAGAGAACATGTACCTGGGGTTTGCGTTGCCAAAGTTCTGAGGGCTCTCGAATACTATCATAGTGGTATCTGTTGAAGACTATGTGAGAAATTCAGGAAAATGTTCTCCATTCTTCAGATAAGCTTGTGCCCTGTGTGGTGCCCTGGGACTACCTTCCTGCCCACACCCGTGTCCTGTCTGGGCTCTTCCTCTCACATCAGCCAGGATGCCAACTTCCCCAAGCCCAGCTCTGCCCCCTGCCCTTCTCTGCACCCTGCTCTGGGGAGGCTCCGCGCGCCTTCCAAGGTGAAAATGTCACGATGGGCAACGCTCGCCTCCTCCCAGGGACCAGATGGTGTTCTTATTACTAAAAAGTCCATCTTTCTGCAACCTGATTCCTCATCAGACACGTTCAGCATCTCATTAAACAAACAAAGCAGCAGACAAATCAAACCAAACAAAATCCCTGCAGCAGTCGAGACCAGCAACAGGTTCAGCCATTGACCTCTGCACTAAGTTGCCCCCGTCCTGGACCTCTTTATTTTCCCATTCTCTGTTTTTTTAAAAACCATTTAAGAGAGTCTCCCAAACTCCTCCCATGGGGCATTCCCCTGACCTGGACACAAGTCTCTGTCCTAACGAGATTAAAAAATGGGCAAGAGAACTGTTAAGACATTTCTCCAAAGAGGACATTCAAATGGACGACATCACTACACATTAGGGAAATACAAATCAAAACAACAATGAGCTATCACCTCATGCCAATTATGGTGGCTGTTATCAAAAAAATAAAAAAATAAAAAAATAAGTGTCAGTGAGGATGTGGAGAAAAGGAAACCCTCATACATTGTTGGTAAGAATATATACAGCCACTGCAAAAGACGGTGTATGGAGGTGCATCAAAAAATTAACAGTAGAATTATCATACGATGACCAGTTGAACTTCTGGGTAAATATCGAAAGGAAGTGAAATCAGGATCTCAAAGAGATACCTGAACTCTCATGTTCACTGCAACATTATTCACAAGAGCCAAGACACAGAGGAGACCTAAGTGTCCACTGACAGATGAATGAATAAAGATAATGGTAATATACATGTACAAGTGAATATTATTCAGCCTTTAAAAAGAAGGAAATCCTGCCATTTGTGACAGCATGGATGAACCTGGAGGACATGATGCTGAGTGAAATAAGTCAGATACAGAAAGACAAACACTGCATGATCGTGGAATCTAAAAAAGTTGAACCCATAGAAACAGAGAGTAGAATGGTCATTGCCAGGGACTGGGGGGAATGGGGAGGTATTAGTCAAAGTGTGCAAAGTTTCAGTTATGCAAAACGAATACATTCTAGTGATCTACTGTACAGCATAGTGCTTATAGTCGCTAACACTGTATATTTAAAAATTTGCAAAGAGGGTGAATCTTATGTTTAGTGTTCTCATCACATACACACAGAAATAATAGTAAATAAAGAGGGTGGGAGGAATATGTAGGAGGTGGCGGATATGATTACAGCATGGATTGTGGGGATGGTTTCACAGGTGTACACTTACCACCAAGCTCATCAAGGTGTACACACTAAATACGTACAGCTTTTTGTATGTCAATCGTAACTCCATAAAATGGTTAAAAAAAGTCTTTGTTTTCCACAGCACATTCCCTTCATTCACAGCTTATTCTGATGCTGACCCTTTTATTCTGTTGTGATGCTGTCAAGGGCAACCTTATTTTTAGGTATAAGTACCCACTCACCCAACAGTGAGTCTTTTGATTTTACTTTTTTCTGTTTGCTCAGTGGCTGTATATTCATGATCTCCACAACCTAATCACCCATCCTGTTGCTTGCCAAAGTGAGCTTTTCAAAGCTCTTTCACCAGAAAAAAAAAAAAAGTAGAGGCAGGAAGGCACACCCTAGGAATAATAATTAAACAAACGATAAATGTTCTTGTCTTTTCTCAAACCCAATTTTGTCAGTTGACCTCAATGAGCCTCTAAACCAGCATTGACAGAGGTTCACGAGGTCCAACGTGCTTTCTCAGCTGGACTGTGAGATTCAAAAGACACGATGGAGAGATTAAGAGGTCAGTGCTACTCAGCCATAAAAAAGAATGAAATAATGCCATTTGCAGCAACGTGGATGGACCTAGAGATTGTCGTACTAAGTGAAGCAAGTCAGACAGAGAAAGACAAATACCATATAATATCACTTATATGTGGAATCTAAAATATGACACCAATGAATCTATCTATGAAACAGGAACAGACTCACAGACATAGAGAACAGACTTGTGGTTGCCAGTAGGCAGGGGGCGTGGGGGAGGGATGGATCGAGAGTTTGGAGTTAGCACCTACAAACTATTATATAGAGAATGAATAAACAACAAGGCCCTACTGTAGAGCACAGGGAACTATATTCAATATCCTGTGATAAACCGTAATGGAAAAGAATGTATGTTTATGTATAACTGATTCATTTTGCTGTACAGCAGAAATTAACATTGTAAATCAACTATACTTTAATAAAATACATTTAAAAAAAAGAGGTCAGTAGTTAAATCATTCTTTCCGATGCCGAATCTTTTGGGAAAACTGTTTTATATTTGAGCATGTATGGGATCTAAGAAAAACAAAAACAAACGTTTATCAAGTCTCAATTCCTTCTGAAAGGCCTCCTCCTGTTTGATTTCTACAATCGGTGGCCGTGCTGCAGCACTGGAAGAGCTGGGGCTTTGGGACTCACAATAATGGGCTGATCTGGTGTCAACCCTACACACTAGGAGACCCTGGTCAAGTTATGGGAACTTTTGAGACTCTGTTCCCTCATTTCTATGATGGGGACAAGGACAGCACCTGACCTGAGGTGCTGTGAGGTTCAGTGAGTCCCCCAGGCTCTCAGTAAACCTGAGTTACACTGAGGATGGCCACTGATCACGGGGAAGGGGACAGCTTGGCCCCTGAACATTAAGGATGTGAGGGGAGGGGAGCTCCTTGGAGCCAACCTTGTTTGCAACACTTGCCGTGTTTTAACACTGTAATAGTTCAGGATGGTGTCGGTAAGGGCTTCACACTTGTCTCCTTCACAGAGGGGCGTCCCCGTGCCTAGCACATCACGGGAAGCCAATGAAGGCTGCTGAGTGACTGGGTGAGGAACTCCTGGACCCACCCTGGGAAACGAGAGGGAAGAAAGAGAATCTCCTCGTCGGAAACCCTGGGAGGTTCTGTACATACTTTGTATATTAAATAAAAAGTAGAGTCATAGCTCAAGGATCTCAGCTTCCCTGCCTCCATCTCCTCCTTACTTGTTTCAGTGAGTGAGGCTCCCGCTTCCCTGAGTCCTGTGCTCATTCTGGGCGCCCCCCACCAGCCAGGCTGGGCTGGTCCTCCAGAACCTCATCACACCACGCAGATGCTGAGCACCATTTTGAAAGAGGCAGTGGGAGACCTCAAGGAAAGACACTTGAGTTTGACTCCTTTTTATTCCACTGAACTCTGGAAACAAAGAGCGTCTTCCCTGTAATTCCTTTCCTTGCCCTTAAACCAAGAGACACGCTTTAGACGAATGGGAACGTTTTGGCTCACTAACATGCCATTTGTTGGGCATCCCCACTATTAGTTACTGTGCTGGGCACGGCATGCAGTGGCAGTCAGTCCATAAAGAAACAAAGCTGAGTGGGGTCTGACCAGTAAAATTTACTCCACTCTGGTATTCATTTGCCCAGTGGCTTGAACAATGCAGAGTTCTGAAGGTTAACTTTCTGTCTCTTGCAAGAAAGCAGTAACTGTCTATTTCCAAGAGTTTTGTTCATTTCAGCTCTTATCCAAAACTCAAGGGAGTAGGAGATGCCACATCACACTCTACTGTTGATGTATTGGCAGGACATGTCATCAGTGGGGCATAGCAATGACACTGCTGGCTACAATGTGGCAAAGGAAACTCACATCTGGATGAGTAACGGGTCATGATTTTCACCGGCTGCATATGCTCAGGGATAGGCTAGATAGATATCTCTGTGAAATCAAAGACCAGAATGCATACCTGATCCCTTGTCACATAATTCCTTCATTCTTTTATCTGGAGGATTAAGGGAAAGTACACTATGATGGGTAATTCGTGGTTAACCTTGATGTATAAGCTCTTTTGCATCTCCATCCTCAAGTACTCAGGGATTGAAAATTTTCATCAACTTCGATCAGCTTTCATCAATACTCTGAAACTGCTGTTGTTTCGATGGCATGGGGGGAGCTGAGTGACAGAAGCGAGAGAAGGATGCGGCGGAACCCCACTTACAAGGCCCATTCTCATCCAGCTGACTAACATTTTCTTACCCGGAAGTCTCCATGCTGGGATGAGAAATCTTG